TAAAAAAAAAAAAAAAAAACATCTAGTGAATTGCTGCAGGAAGGAAAAAATTAAGTCTAAAAAAAAAAGAGTTAAGGGGTAGAAAAAAATATACCAATCCAATGCTAATCAAAAAAGAGCAGGAGTGGCAATATTATTTTCTGATAAAATAGACATTAAGGTGAAAAACACCGTAAGAGACAAAGAAGGGCATTATATGATGTTCAAACGGTCAATTGACAAAGAAGATGTTATGATAATATTTATGCACCCAATGAAACTGCTCCAAAATACGTGAAACAAATATTAACTGAATTAAAAGAGACAATAGATAACTCTACAATAGTAGTAGGAGACTTTAACACACCACTTTCAAAGAGGGACGGGTCAACTAGAAAAAAAAACTCAACAAAGATACAGAAGAACTCAACAATACAATCAACCAAATCGACCTCACAGACATATACAGAGCATTTCATCCAACAAAAGCACAATTCACATTCTTCCCCAGTGCACATGGATTCTTCTCCAGAATACACCGTATGTTAGGACATAAAACAAGCCTCAAATTCAGAAACACTGAAATATTACAAAGCATCTTCTCAGACCACAATGCTATAAAATTAGAAATTAATAATAGGAAGATCAAGGAAAAAACATCAAACATGTGGAAGCTGAACAATTCACTGCTCAAAAACTACTGGGTATTAGAACAAATAAAAACTGAAATAAAAAAATTTCTAGAAACATACAAGAATGAAGATACATCATACCAAAACCTATGGGACATAGCAAAAGCAGTACTCAGAGGACAATTTATAGCAATAAATGCATACATCAAAAAAGAACAAAGAAACAAAATCAACACTCTAACACATCAACTGCAACAACCAGAAAAAGAACAACAAAAGAATCCTACAGTACCTAGATATAAGGAAATAATAAAGATCAAAGCAGAAATAAATGAAACAGAAAACAAAAAAAAAAGAAAATCAATAAAACAAAAAGTTGGTTCTTTGAAATGATTAATGAAATTGGCAAATCTAACAGA